TATTTGGGATTATATTTAACCCGAACGGTAATATTGTATACTAAAAAGACCGGATATTAGGACTATGACTGAAAACCTCTTAGATTTTTCTACTAATTTTAAAATAGAAATCTTTTGGGACTTCTATTAAAAACTGGGCAGAATTAAACTTAAAAAAACTTCTCAGATTAGTTAATTAAATACCGATAAAAGTTGGCCATTATAACGGCTAATCTCCAGATATAGAAACGGCATATCTTGTACTTTAGAGTTGAACAGCAATAAAAGTCAATATAATATTAAACATTATTTTGAAAACGTTTTGAACATTGTAATACTTTTAAATATTTTTATAATTCTAATATTTAAGAAATATGTATAACAATAATTATACTACAAACTTTTACTAGATTTTTTGTTTTTTTGCTTGTAGTGCTTTAAGCAAATACAATACTTAAAAATATTATTTTGGGTACTTACTTAAAATTCTGAAAATAAAATATAACTTTTACTCCAGAACGGGATTCTAAATTTTTATCTGAATATTAATGCATATTGAGAAAGGAGCAAATTAAGATTATAACCAATTATTTGCTGGTTTTGATTTTTTTTATCTTTACAAAAAATTTATGACTAATTATATCCACAAAAAGAATTTAAAAGAGCCAATTATTTCTTGTTATAAATGTTACATTAATGTTATAAATTTACGAAATATTTCACATTGTAGTTTATTGCCAATTAATTTTAGTGGTATTTATTATTAGTATTCTAATTCAATACCTCTTTTAGGTTATCAGTTTAATTAATATTAAAATCAGCTTATATAATTTCTTATAGCTATTTCTAAAAAGAAATCCTTTCATTATGTGAAAATGAAAAAGTATTTTCCATAGTATATTGTAAAATTATTAGTTTATTATTTTATTCGACATGATACGAGTATTATACAATAATTGCTTCAGTCTATAATAATATGTTTCACTGAGAGCTTGAGGTTACACTGCTCACATGTCGGTACAGATTCTTTTGTAATTAAAAATTTATGTCTTACACTTTTATGACCTAATCTAAGATGGCTTATTGTCACTTGATCTTTTTTTTGATAGAGAAACATCTCCTAGGTTTAATGTTCAGATTCTATTAACATTTAAAAAGCGTCTGATATTTGTATTTTTGGAGCTTCGCAGGATTCTGATAGAAATTTTGTATTTGTAATGTATCATGCTTTTTAACCTGTTAAGGGAGTTTTAACCCTCTGGTCACAGCATTTTGGAGGAAGTATACAGGCTGCTAAGCTTGTTGGATGATTATTGAAACGTCGATTAATTTAGAAAACGCTCTCCAATTGAGTTAATGAGATTATTTTACATTTCTGTTGTAAAGCATTTCTAGATCTATTTTTTTTGTATATTAACTTTCCATTACGGATAGGGGTATGGAGTTTGGATCTGTAATTTTCAGTAATTCAGCTTCACTGTAACGTAATATTTTGTTCATTTTCACAGTTCAGAAACTTTGTGTCTTTTTAGTTAATAATTGTTTTTCTTTGTACCTAAGAATATCAGTTCTAACTAGTTTTTGTAAAGTATTGGGAAGGGATCTGAAGGTACACTTCATGTACTAATATTTGGTGGGATTTTTAGGGCAGTTTTAGGTATCTGGAGATTTCTGTGTCTGGATCTTTAGTATTTGGGGTTTTATTTTACAATCCAGAACACCAATTCCTGGTTTGGTATGGATTTGAGACTGTACAGCTTGGATTTGTATGTAGAAGTCTGTAGCAGTTTGTTTTGCTTATTCAAAAATGACTTGAGGAGCCAAAAAAAAACGGAGGAAACTTGATAAGTTTTTAGTTTTTATTTAACTTACTTTTTAACTTACATTTAACTTTAGCGGCTTTGAAATATTGATTAATAAAATTCTTGATGCAATTTTCATTTAAATCTATTAACTAAATAATAATTTTTCACTTTAAAGTTGATTAAACATTTTGCAAATGCCTATGTACAATATTTGTGCATACTTTTAAACTTAAAGCAGCTATGCTGTAGTGTTGTAATTTAATTTACCCATCTGTTGTTCGCCTTGGATCCAATGTCTATAACTTGAGGTATATCCCTGAAGTAAAGTTTTATTCATCTGCTAAAATGGCAGATTGTTATACATAGGTATATTTTAATTTTTTACTATTTTTATGTGATTAAATAATTAATAACATCACTTAAAATTTTAAATAGTCTGGGGGGAAATAGTACAAAAGTTGTTTCAAATAGTAAAGGGGATTAAGGTTGTAATTTGTAACTTGACTATAAATTTTAAAATTAGTACAGCGGTCTAAATTTTATCCGACGTGTAAACATATGTTTTTAACATTTACTTTTCATATTGAAACCAAGTGTGGTTCTTCGCACATTTTTATAAATAAACGAATGTAAGTTAAGGTTGTCTTTTAATTTCCTACTTTTGTCAGATTTAGGTAGGGAAAGAAACTTTATGGTTCAGATAAATCTGACTGGCGCTGACAATTAAATTTTACATTTTTAACATCCCAGATTTGAGATATACTCACTCCGTCTCCACTTGAGTGAACCGCGGCTACAACGGTTGACATCTGGGACAACCGAAACTTAATAAACCTAAATTTGAGGTTATACGATATTGAATATTATGCTCATTCAAAAGTGGTAATTGGTGCTATGGATAAGGAATGTCCGCATTGTCATGCTCTCAAATTAAAAAATGAGCCACCTGGGATGTGTTGCGTGTCAGGAAAAGTGCAACTACCTGAAATTGAAACACCACCTGAACCACTGAATGATTTACTTATCGGCACGGATCCAGATTCTAACGTATTCCTGAAGTCAATTCAAACATTCAATTCCTGCTTTTAAATGACATCGTTTGGAGCAACAGAAATAGTTTGAAATACTAATGCTAATGATCAACAATACAATTCTACATTCAAAATCAGAGGCCAAGTTTATCATTAAATGGGCTCATTGCTGCCAATGCCAAACAAACCACATGAATTTTTACAAATCTACTTTATGGGCGGCGAGGATTCCGGAAGCGACTTGCTAATCGCGTGAATGCACGTTGTAACTATAATAACCTTGATTCATTTTTTGCCAGGCGCATCGTCAGCGACTTGGACGCTCTATTGAACGAGCACAATGAATTGTTGAAAATATTCAAATTACACATGCACAAATTACAAAGCGATAATCACGCTATTGTCATTAACCCTGATAAAACACCAGCTGGAGAACATATTCGTAGATTCAATGCACCTGTTGTTGAAGACGTTGCTGGAATCATGGTTGGCGATCGTACAGGTACACGAGAAATTGTGATTCGTATAAGAAATAATAATCTTCAGTTTATTGCTGATACACATCGTTCATATGATGCTCTCCAATATCCGCTAATATTCTAGAAGGGGCAAGACGGATATTGCGTAAACATAAAACAACGAGATCCCGTATCAGGTACTTCATTTATCATTAACCATTTAACAAAACAATTAAATTATTGAACGGAATTAATTTAAATTAATAATCATAAATATATTATTACAGGAGCTGAAACAAACAAGAACGTTAGCTCGAAAGATTATTATGCGTATCGATTAATGGTTCGGCGCGACCTGGACAACGTCATTCTACAATGTCGTGAGCTTTGTCAACCATTCATTGTTGACATGTACGCGAAGATAGAGGGCGAACGATTACGATACTTATGATATAATCAACTCAAGCTGCGTGCGAAAGAGTACATTCACTTACGAGACGCTATTAACAACAACGCCGATGTCGCCGAAATTGGTAACTCTGTTATTTTACCAACATCGTATATACGCAGTCCACGTCATATGTAAGAATATATACAGGATGCTATGGCTTACGTGCGCGAATACGGACGACCGTGTTTATTTATCACGTTCACATGTAATCCAAAATGCCCAGAGATTACATTTTTGCTATTGCCTGGCCAAAATGCAATACATCGTCATGACATTACACCATATGTATTCAGACAAAAGTTAAAGTCTCTAATAAGTTACATTACTAAATTACATGTATTCGGTAACACACGTTGCTGGCTGTATTCAGTTGAATGGCAAAAAGGGATTATCTCATGCGCACATTTTGGTTTGGTTAATCGACAAAATCCGTCCTGAAGAAATCGATAGTATCATTCCTGCGGAAATTCCAGATTCGTCTACTGACCAAGTGCTGTTTGATATTGTTACAGTAAACATGATCCATGGTCCATGTGGTACTCTTCATCGTTCATCGCCTTGCATGGCAGATGGAAAATGTACTAAAAATTTCCCTAAAGATTTCACTAATTATACGATAACAAATACCGACGGATATCCAATATATCATCGAAGTCCCGATAATCATATATTAATGTTGAGTTTTGCAGTTCTGTGAAGCAGAGTATGTCTAGAGAGGCAGTGATATGGTTGTTTTAGAGTAGAAAATACTAATGTAAATGCTCCTCTAATGAATAAAAACGATGAAAAACGCTCTACCAAATTGGACGGTTATCAGCTCCAATGAAGCTGCTTGGCGTATTTTCATTTTTCCAATTCATGAACGGAATCCAGTAGTTGTCAATTCAGCCGTCCATCTTGAAAACGGTCAGCGTGTATTTTTCAAGAACTAGACAGTGATTGATCGTGCTACAAATCCACCTAAAACTACACTCACAGCATTTTTTTGAATTGTGTAATAGTGATTGATAATAGTGATTGAATTGTGTAATGGATGATTTTAGTGCCTTTGCAAGAACATTACTCTATTCACAAGTACCAAAATATTTCACATGGCTCAAACAAAAAAATGGATGCCCCGCAAGCAAGGCTCACCAGTTGATGCATGTCTCGATTTATTTAAATCGAACGCTTTGGGTGATTATTTACAGTTAATCCAAGACACACTGCGTGCTTTTATCTTCGACTGTTGTTGGTTAATGTTAGTGGCCCATTATCATTTCAAGATATACGTAAAATGAATGGGCAACAGTATCCAACATATAAAGACGCATGCCTTGCACTTGTCTTGCTGGAAGACGACAACCAGTGGGAGTGTATGCTTGCTGAAGATGCATTGAACTGTACAGCAATACAAATTCGTCTACTACTCGCTATAGTGTTGACTACATGTTTCCCAGCTCGAGCACAGATATTGTGGGATAATCACAAAGATTCACTGACTGATGATATATTGCACCAACATCGTACACGGTGCAACGATCTAACGATAACATTCAGCGACGCTATGTACAATGAAGCATTGATTGCTATTGAGGATCTTTGCATTGTCATTACCAACTTATGACCCACTCATTTCGGTATGAATTCGCCAGATCGAACTGCATCTGATTTAATTAACACTGAAATGAATCGTGCACGCAATATCCCACTAATGAATGGCGAACAAAGGACCATTTATGACCGCATTTTGCTCGCAGTTTCAGCAAGACAAGGTGGGTTCTTCTTGCACCGGGTGGAATTGGCAAACATTCCTTATTTCATTAATTCTTGCTGAAATATCATCAAATAATGGCATCGCATTGGCCGTTGCATCATCGAGCATTGCGGCAACTTTATTGGAGGAAGCAGAACAGCTCATTCAGTATTTAAGCTGCCACTAAATATTCAATATAACCCTGACGCAGTGTGTGACATTAAATAATAATCGTCCATGGCTACCGTGCTAAAACAGTGTAAAATTATCATCTGGGATGAATGTACTATAGCACACAAACATTTAATTGGGGCGTTAAACAGGACATTGAAAGATATTAAAAACAACGACAAACTATTTGACGGCACTCTGTTGGTGATTTCAGACAAACACTTCCCGTCATTATACGTTCAACGTTCTCTGATGAGATCAACGCTTGCTTAAAATCATCTTCATTGTGGCGTAATGTTGAAAAAGTACAGATGAAAGTAAATATGCGCGTTCAAATGTTTCAAGATCCATCTGCTGAAATGTTCTCAAAACAACTCTTAAAGTGGCTTCCCACGATCGGCGATCCTACAGATTATCGCGGATAGCCGATCAGCACGGACGACAGCGCACCGCAGACAGAGCTCTTCCTACGGTCCGTGACAGTCTGTGTAGGTCCGTGACAGTAATGTTTGATTATATCATAAAAAGGCCACTCAGGCTTGTAAACATAATTGCCTTCTGTATATCGACATTAAATTATCTCTCTTGTTTTTTAATTCTTTAATCGAAATAGTACTATTCTTCAATTAATTTTTTATTCGGTTCCATATATCGTATGCATCGTTCCGGTTCTTATGCTCTGGCGCCGTGGAATTCCATAAACTTGGTTCATTTTGATACAAATTTAAAAAATCAAAAATAACTTTGTTTGTTCATTCGATTTTTTAGCAAAAAACTGCAAAACAACTTTAACAACACTACAAACAACTACTCGTGTCAGTGATTGAAAAACTTCTGACTTGCACTTGTCGTCTGTTAAAACACAGACGCGCTAGGATCGCGTCGCACGAGCATGTACCGCACCTTTGATGTTACCGACTCTAGATGGATCGGACGGACCAGCACAGACGTGCCTGCGCTACCACGGACGAGACCTTTCCCACGGTGCGTGGTGCGGGCTGGTCGCTTACGTCCGCAATATCGCCGACCGTGGGAAGCCGCTATTAGATATCGGTGATGAAAAAGTTGCTACAGATGAAACTTGATACGTAAAATTACCGACCGATTTCTGCATAATCGCTGATTCGCAAGATACTCTCATTGAACAAATATTTCCTGATGTACACACACAGTATATAAATCATGAGTGGCTTGCAGAAAGAGCTATTTTAGCATCAAAAAATGTAGACGTGAACAATTAAAATTTAAAGATACAACAGTTGTTGCTAGGGAACTTGGTATCATACAAATCTATTGATACAGTTTGCGATGCCAGCGAAGCTGTCAATTTTCCCGCAGAATTTTTGAACTCACTGGATTTGCCAGGCATGCCACCGCATAATTTACAATTGAAAGCTGGATCTCCAATTATCTTGCTTCGTAATTTAAACCAGCCACGGCTGTGCAACGGTACGCGATTAGTCATTCGAAATTTGATGAAAAACGTTATCGAAGCCAGCGTTTTAAATGGCAAGTTCAAAGGTGAAAATATATTAATACCTCGGATTCCTGTCATACCTACAGATGTGCCAATTCAATTCAAACGAATTCAGTTTCCGATTAGACAATCAACAAATCCCAAAGCCAAACGATGTCTATTTGTGGCTTAGATTTGAGTACACCATGTTTTTCACACGGGCAATTGTACGTACCATGTTCTCGAGTGGGTAAACCATCCATTTTGTTTGTGCTCGCTAAGGATGGGCTAACAAAACATATTGTTCACGCTATAGCATTAAGAGATTGATTTTGTTTGTTAGGGTTACTATCGTATAATATATGTAATTTTAAGTAATAAACTATAATAACTTGAAAATAATATTGCTTGGCGTTTGTTATTTTTATATTCCCCCATAGCGGTCCTCACCCATTTCGCACTTATAATAAGTAAGGAACTTTTTGTCTACACTAGAATTTATCTAGAAACTAGAAATAATTTATAATATATATATAAAATAATGTATTTATTATCTTCCTCTTTTATGGTCACGAGAAAAAATGGAAGTTTTTTTTTTGTCTGTACCTTTATCTTCCAGCTCTTCCTGAATCGACTTAAAATCTATAGATTCTTCCAGAACTCTGATCACCAATCTTTTGGGTCTTTCCTGGTCGATGGAGTATGTATGAGAATGAATTTTATCTTTATATTTGTTTTTTTTTAACAGTGTCTGGTCGTATTCTTTCGGAACTTTAACAACTGTGAGGTAATCTTTTCTATCTTTGGTTTTTATAAGTATAGACCTGCCAGGCTTTACAAATTTCGTGAGAACTCTATTTCCTTTTTTTGCTGCCTTCAAAATCTGTTAAATTAAAGAACAGGCTTTAAAATGATCGCTGGTGGTTTAGGCAATGGAAAATTAATTTTTATCTACAATTAAATAAATAATAAAAAAAAACTATTGTTACTGGTTTTGCTTTCCACGTAAAATCACTGTATATTCATTCATATATGTCCATTAATCAAACCAACATGACAATGACATATTTATATAGTGACAACATAGTTATTTTTTTTAAATCATTAAATATATTTATAATGCTTTGTTTTATAAAGTACAATATTAACTGTAATCTCACGACTAGTAAGGTTAGTCTTCGTAAGTGGGTATATTTATTTAAAAAACCCTTAAAAGGGCTACATCACAAAAAACAAACGTTTTCGGATTAAACAGTCCATCATCAGGTTTAAATTTAAAATTGCTAGGTTAAAATGCCTGAGCCACCAAAATACATGGGTAAAAACCCTTTAAATTACATATAGTTTTAAAAGATTATACATCTTGTTGTTAATAAACTGTGATGTTCAGTATTAAATTAAATATGACTTCAGGTAACAAACATTGTTGAATTGAGTTCCAGAGCCGGGGAGTAAACCTCTAAACACGGAGAACAGCTGGAAACTCAGTGTCAAAAATGGTTTACAAATAATTAAAGAGATATTGCTATTAATTATTGATACACACTGTTAGTCTCACAAGTTATCTCTTCATAGTTTGCATTCACATTTAATCATGAGAAGTAGAAATACATATTCTTTTCATATATGATCGACACATTCACATACTTCTCGATTTTATAACTACTGCCTTTAAAATATTTTTAGCCGGTTAAAGATGACAATATTTGTATACCCCTGCTGTATCTTCTGCTTCTAATCCCTCTTTACCTTATTCATTTGTATTTTGTAATAAATTTGAAAAATGTTCCCACACATGCATTTTACAATTTTATTTTTTGATTTAAGAATCAAATCAACGACAAATTCAAAGTCAACGAGGTCACTGACACGATGATATTATAATATAATATAAAGACAAATATAGTATCCATTTGATAATACACAATACTTAGGTAATACACATTGTGTACTACCTATGTATTATGTATTATGTTTACACAATACTTAATTTTACAAATTTAACCGATATACATAATTAAAATTCAGAGGTTACAAAGCACTTGAATGTCTTTTAAATATTTAAACATACTTGCATGTTACTCAGTTTCATTCAAAATTTGTTGTATATTATCTTCCAGCTGGTGTTGTTTTCTTTTAATAGAAAGCTGTGGACATTCTTTAAGGAATTGCTGGATGGTTAAAGGACTTCTGCAATGGCCGCATGCAGGTGGATCGGTAGATGCCATAAGAAAGCCATGTATAAGCCAAATTTTTAATCTTTTTAGAATAACCTTGTGTCTTCTGGTCACAGGAGTAGCTCTAAGGAATATAAAACTAGTTGTATATCGTGTAAGTGACTCGAAATTTGTGTTCCAATTAGCTTGCTATTTGTCATATACGCTTTATGAACATTTATTTAATATCATTGTGCAGCCGTATATTTGATGAAGGTATATCCAAAGTAGAAACTTCTTTTTCGACTAGATCTGCATCCTTAATTTCTACAAATCCTACATGTGAAAGTATCCAGAGAATAGTGTATTGTAGTACTTGTATTGATGATAAGGAGTCTGTGCAAATCAATACATTGCGGTCAGTGGGTTCCAACATACAAAACGCCTCGACGATGCCCTATAGTTCTCCAGTGAAACAATACAAACAGCAGGAAGTCTGATTAGTTTTGTAGAGTTAAAAGAGAAAACAACAGCACTACCCACCCCTATATAATTTTTGAGGCATCTGTATAAAGAACTTTTTCTACTCTCTTACTAGTAAATTGTATATTACCTAATATTTGGATGCTAAGTAAATGCATCATAACAGATACTGACACGTAATGACTAGCACGTAATAAAAAAAATTATGCTTCAGTTTTATAAAAATGTGTAATATCACATAAGCCTCGTAAGGTCAGTTGGTCGAGTTACCATGGAAACGAATTAACAGACGTTATTTTGACAGATTAAAAATTATTAATCTGTCAGTGTAAATATAGTGGTAATTTAATTTTTATTTTGATAAACGAAAATAATGGTAGAAAAAGTATAGTACCCAACTTGAGTTGTAAGCTTATTACATGCTTGTAAAATTACTGAGCTCGCCGCTACGCGGCTCGCGCGCAACTTTTTTACTCGCATGTAATAAGCTTCTTACAACTCTCGTTATGTAATATACTATTATCAAACTGATTTCGATTAAGTATGTCTAGGAATGATGGTTCAACTTTGTCACAGAGTCAAGATGCCAAGAAGCAGACATAAAG